TTTTTTTTTTTTTTTTTCATTTTTTGATTATCAGTTCTATCCCTTCCTTTCCACCAAAATTAAATCAGGGCAAACTTACAGGAAAATTGGTACCAGAGTAAAGAACTTTCTTGTTTCTGTGAATTGTTCGCCATTGTTAAGCTGCTCCCAGTGCGTTAGTCTGCGTGCCTTGCCTTGATCAGCTGTCTGAAATGGTGTTCCTTTCAGGTAATGCAGAAATATAAACATACTCTGCAACAAATGTTAAATCTCAGGTTAATATGTCAATCAGCTGGAAAAAAAAATATAACATGATGTTAATCTCAGGGACTGTCTAATCAGACGAATTCCCTTCCTGTAGGTGAAGTTCCTGTACTGAATGTTACAAAATGTAGTGGCATAGTCGAAACCATGACTTAAGTATCACAACTACAGAATTTAAAGCAAAGAAAATCATAAACAAGCACGTATGAAGTACCAAAACTTTCTCCAAACAACAATTAAAATAATGCATGGAAATAAGAAAGGATGATTAACGATTAATATTTAAATCTTGGGACTTATGGAGTTAGTAAAAATTTACATAATTTGGCCACTTACAAGTACATGTACATTCACATGCATTACTCAATATTGATTATTACTTATTAATGTTTTCCAACTAAAATATTTTCCACCGAGGTATTATATCTCAAGTTAACATTGGGTTTAGAAGTTGCTCTTTAAGAGTTAAATCTCATAGAAAATAAGCTTAACCCTTTCCCTGTCTGTGATACTAAATCAAAGCTGAGGCAAAAATTCTTTCTTCAGCCTATAGATAAAATTTCGAAAGTTGTATCAAAATGGAGCCATGTACCAACAACACTGTTACAGTATAACGAATCATTACAAAGATCAATAACCTTAAGTTTTCAAGCAATTTTCTTCAAAACGCAACATCCTTTCAATCGTTACTTCAATGAACAAAACGCAAACTTATCTGTACATGTACGTCTGTCAGATTCACCGGGAATGTTCTTGCATATTCGTTAATCTCAATCAAGATCAATTTACACATCATATCAAATGATATTATTGGCCCCAAATAAGCAGGAAATACACGGATCAAAACCCCTAACCTACCAAATTGTGGAAGGTGTTTGTGAGGGTCCAGGCAGTCGGTGTATCGAAGAACGGGATGCTCAGAATCACCAAATGACCAATAGTTATGAGTAACACATACGTAAACCAAGTCCCCTTGCTTTCAAGCCAGGACTCGTTCGGATTATTGATACTGAGGCCTCTCTCAGCCTTCATTTTCTACCGTTCACTCCACTAAGGTCCTGAACTGTACAACTGTATTTTATAAATTTCTTCGTGCGCAAAACGCGAAAGTAAACTATGACGCATTACTACGCATGTATTGTACACAAAACCGCTGAAACATCTGAGATGTAAGGTGAACGTGAAATAGGTACTTCATATAAGCACTACACAGATATTTCATGTGATCATATCCGTACTTGGCGCGAAAATATCAGTTATCCCGCGAAATTGTCAGAAATACTCCTGTTTCTCATGTAGTTACTTTTACACTTTTAGGAATTTTTAGTATTGGTTTACTTATTTTGATCATGGATAGTAAAGAGACTGGATTGGAAACTAGCTCTCGTCACCGGTTCCAAAAATTCCTAAAAGTGTAAAAGTAACTACATGAGAAACAAGAAAATTCCAAATTTGAAAAAAAACGTTCGCGTCAAAATAGGGTTGTCCCATACCAAATCACTTAATTACTTATAACGTCGCAAAGATATCTCGTTCACGTTCCAAGCAGTCAAAAATCTCTCTGCTTATCCCACATATCTACGTTTTGGGCTGTTTTGTGAATTTTTTAGTGATTTTTGGGTATATTTGGGAATAAATAGTTTTTCTCAAAGAATTGGCAAAATGTTTGGAAACAGGAAGATTTGCTGTTGTTTTAGAATAAGAATTTGAAGTTAAAAATTGGTAGACGTACACCGTGGTGGTGTTCCAAAACTTTTTTCTTTTTAATCCCTCTTTAAACTTCCTAAAGCTTCATTTAAATTCAGGTAGACCCCCGCCTCAAAGGCAGACAATTTCAGAATATTTCTTGACGTTTAAATCACGTTTTTAGTGCCAGATATATTCATCTGATATGGATACAAATTAAAACGTGCGTTTTAACATGTTTATCTAAAGAAAAAGTGCTCCTCGTTCTTCTCTTCTTAGACTCGCACGAGGCATAGCCTCGTTTTGGCGCTAAGCTTATTTTCGCCCTATAATGCCATGAAATTGCTCTTTTCATCTCTAATCTTGACAGACGTGTTAAACTCGCGATTTTCTTCACATCTATTAGCTTGACAGTAGCTTCAGCTTGAATTACCTTAAAATCTTTTTCTTAATTGAAAGCGTTATAGGCTGTTTAAGTCCGTGGGGGCGACCTCCGCCCTTCCCGAATGGGGTAATTAAGATCGAGTCCACATTACGCCGGAGGGATTTGAAAATTTAACTATCACCAGTCACTTTGGGTTTGTGTTTGACATGTCGTGTTTTATTTTATTTTGTATATTTTCCATATTTTGCAAAATATGCAAAATGCGAAATATCACTAACACGACAAGTCAAAAGTAATTTTTGCGCACAGAGGAAACCTAAATACTTCAAAGAGGTAGAAAGGCAACAAAAGAAATCACAATAAACAGAAGAACAAGAAAGAAAAAGAGGGATGGTACAGAGTGAGAAAGGTGGAGACTGTTTACGAATGACAGCCGATAGATGTGTACCGGTGTACCGGCGCGGGTGCTCGTAAAAGAAACAACAAAGGCCCATGTGGCTTGAGCAACTTTATTTCCAGAGTAAAACTGTCAAAACTGAAATAACAGCGTCGTGAGTGGTAGAGAACAAAAGGGGAAAAATACAATGCGAGAAACGACAGAAAACTTACGCCTTTCCTCGTTACAAGGGCACCGCGTGGTCGAAAGCACTAAAACTAACTAAAGCGCATGCTGGGAAGTAATGACGTAAGTAATGACGCAAACTCGAATCGTCACGCAAACGTGACAGACGTGACACAAAAGCCACACGGGTGCCGTTACAACGGGATAAAATGCTGTCAAGAAAAAGGTATGAACCGTAAACGACACGGCAAAGTGGTGTTCTGGGAAACTTCCTAACCAATATTATTTACATTCTTACGGACCGTGTCATAACTTAATTATCATTTAAGATCAAAGCCTATGTTGATGAACGGCTACGATAGTTAAATGCAAGAAATGGGTTTTTTCTGAAAGTGAAGTTTCTCCTTTGTGATGACTAAGGTTCGTTATGAAAACCAAGCAGGTCAAAGGGTAACTAAAACGACAATCCATATTACGCAGAAAAGAGCACAGCCACCCTCATTTTTTAAAATTGCATACTGTATTTGTAAGATTCATAACATAATTACAAAGTGAGTCAAGTCTTAAAGATTTTAAAATAAATTAGTCTTTTTGTCAGGTTCACCCTATTCAGATCGGGATGGCTTGGGGAGGAGGGTTGGTGCAGAGTGAGCTTGCGCAATATTAAGTACCTCTGGCTTACCGTTCCTATTACCGTTACTGTCTGAGACAGGTGTTTCTAAATAAATCTGACTAAGAAACATCATCATCGCCGTCTGTCTTAAAAGCAGGGAAGGTTTCTTTAGACGCTCGTAGTCTATAATCAACAATCAGTAAAATGATTCCATTTCGATTGGGATCACTGCCTTGTTCGTGGTCGGGTGGCTTGCGTATTCTAATGACCCCTCAGAGCTATGTCGGCGGGAGTCTTGTACTCCTGGTAGGGTCACCCTAGCCAAACAGGTCGAGGGGTAGGAGCCACACAAAGAGTGATCCCCTGGTCCTCCAAGTTGGGAGTTGGGCTGAGGGCTGATAACACTCTCCCGTAATTATTACAGAAACCAGAAGCAGAGAGAATTTACTACATCGAGGACATGCTATGGCCGTACTTCGTAGCAGGCCGGGCCCAATGACACACGGGAGCCACATCCAGCAGGACAGCCACTGGCCGACTAGACCACTGCACCCTAAATACAAGCTGAAAGTTGGCAACTGGAATGTTCGAACGTTACAAAAGTGGCAACATCGCACCGGCAGCAAGAGAAATAAAGAGGAAAGGTGGAGACATCATAAACAACAGCGAAACTCACTGGACGGAGCAAGGAAAAGTGCAACTTGCAGACGGAAAAACCATAATTTACTCTGGAAGAGATGATGACAACCACAGACAGGGAGTAGGTATATTGATGTCAAAAAGTGCAGTTGGAGCTCTGATGGAGTGGAACCCTATCAGAGAAAGAATAATTCAAGCCAGATACTATCCCAAATATAATATATAGATCTAGCCAAGACTAAAAGCGGAGCTCCTGATTGCAATAACTGACGATAAAGGAAAAAGAGAATTATTTTTTCTTGGATCAGAAACTCAAAAAATGATCAATTGTGAGCACGTAATTGTTCAGCGTGTGGTTTTGCTAAAATGACGTACGCAATATATCAGGGACTTTCCAAGAGACGATTGTACAAGGAATATGTCAGAAGAAAAGTCAACAACGCGCCAGGGGTAAATTTGCGCCGAAATTTTACCTTTGCGAATACTCCTTCTTTCTCCCCTGGAGAAATAACGTGACTTGAGCCCGCGATCCAATCGGTAAACCAGTAACTGGTCAGCGGTTAACTTTAAAAAACACGCAACCTCGATGAGCTCTGAACCTAAGCCCGCGATATACTCACGTGATATTGGTCAGCGGATAGCTTGTTGTGACAGCTGTCAATTAACAATAGCGTGGGCGCCCGAAACCTAAGATGTAGCTATGGTAATGGTGCTACTCTCTTAGTTTTCGAGGTATTGGCGTACGGACGGACCTACGTACGTAGGGACAGTCACGTGACAACCAAAATTTTTCAGATCGAAGGGTTACCAAATTTTCTAAGGTATGGGGCTCCGCTATAAAGCTTATATTTATGTATACGCATCCACAGAAGATGCAGACAAACAAGCAAAGGATGAGTTCTACACCAGATTGCAAGATGTTATAGATGATGAAATAATAATGATATTATTATAGTTACTGGATACATGAATGCTAAGATTGGACACGAAAACCATGACTATGAACGAGTGATGGGAAAATACGGACTGGGGCTGAGGAAGCATCTACAAAGCAACATGGGTGTCGCCCGATGGACAGACCAAGAATCAGATCGGCCATGTCATCATCAACAAGCGATTCAGGACTTCAGTGACTGACACAAGAGTCTACAGGTATGCAGATACTGGAACGATCAAGCTAAGGTTGAGGAAGCCACCGAAAGAAAAAGTTGAACGTAGAGTGAAGTACAACACGACTAAGTTGGAAAATGAGCAAGTACTTAAGACCTTTAACACAACCCTACGTAATATGTAGCAGGCCCTAGAGAATGAAGAGCCAGAACTTGAAGAAGAGAAAGAAGTAGAGAGAGACTTTCGGGTAATGACGAAGGCATACATAAAAGCAGCAAAAACTGTATCGGGTAGGCCTCAGAAAAAATGAAAAACCCATGGATCAGCAAAGAGTCATTGGACCTCATAAATCAAGGGGAAGACGTTAATAAGAAGATCTTAAGTACAAGCTCAGAAAGGGTCAAAGACGGCTCAGGTCAGAATATGTAAGAAGGGAAAGAGAGGTGAAGAGGAGCACAGAGGCAGATAAAAGAAAATGAATAGACAATATTACAAGTGAGGCAGAAAAAGCCGGAGGAAACCAGCATATGAAGACATTTTATGAGCTCACCAACCGGACGCTATGTAATGAAAGACCTAGGCAAAGCACGGCAGTGTTAGACAAGAATAGAACCTCCTAAGCTGAGGTACAGTGAAGATGGACAGAGCACTTTAAAAAAAGTGCTTAACAGAGAAGAACCAGAAAACCCGATAAGTTAGTGAAGAAGAGTATGGATTCGAGTTCAGTGAAATAGTTGAGGAGATTGCTCGGCAGTCAATGAGCTAAGTTTAGGTGAAGTAAAAGGAAGCAATACAAGGACTTAAAAGAGAGAAGAGTGGAAGGAGGGGAGGGCCCAAGACAACGTGGAGACGAACAATAGAAAAGGAACGGAAAGAGGCAGGGTGGAGCTCAGGGAGGAAACGAGAACGATTACAGCAGACCGAGAAAAGTGAAGGACCTCTGTAAAGTTTCTATATACTACGAGGCACGGGGAGGATAGATGCTAGATGCTGGTAAAATCATTAGTTTTGTAAAGTTTCGCTTTACGTATTGGAAAAAAGGTTGTATATGACAATAGCCAATTAAAATAGATGGTTATAAGACGCTTATTTTGTTCCCTTTTGATACATGACAAAAGTTACTATATA